TATATGAAATAGGATCCTTAAGCTTGAATCTCTTCACTCCCTTCTCCAAACTGAGAAAGATGCATTGCTTAGACTTAGAGTTTAATTTGGAGCGTTTCCCACTTTGCATATGGACATAGGCTGGACATCCGAAGATCCTCAGCATCGAGTAATACACCGGCTTTCCTGTCCATATCTCCTTTGGAATTTTACACTCAATCGCTATAGATGGTGACCTATTAACGATGAAAGAGGCCATGTTAACTGCTTTTGCTCAGAAACGTTTCTTCAAATTTGCATTCAATCTCATACTATGAGCTCTTTCCAAAAGAGTCACATTCATCCTCTCAGCCACACCATTTTGCTGAGGAGTTTCTGGTGTAGTAAAGTGACGTACAATCCCCTCTTCTTTACAGAATTCTTGAAATTATCTAGACTTGTACTCCCCTTCATTATTTGATCTCAAGCATTTCAGTTTCTTTCTTGTCTTCCTTTCTACCTCTACTTTCCATTGTTTAAACTTCGTGAATGCTTCACTTTTGTGTTTCATGAAGTAGACCCAGACTTTTCTTGAGTAATTGTCAATGAAGGTAATGAAGTATTCTGCCCCTCCCTTGGATTTGATTAGTGAAGGCTCCCATACATCAGTATGTACATAGTCTAGTATATCTTTGCTCGTATGAATTGCAATTTTGAATCTAATCTTGCATTGTTTACCGAAAACATAGTACTTACGAAAATCCAATTTACAGGCTCTGACAACCTTCAATAATTTTCTTTTATGAAGTTATATCATACATCGTTCACTTATATGCCCTAAACGCATATGCCACATATTTGTGTTATCTGTGTTGGACTCAACATCTGTGTTTACAGAAGCTCCACCTGTAACTGTATTCCCAATCAACCTGTATAGGTTCCCAGTCATCTGACCTTTCATGACAATCATAGATCCCTTACTAACTTTAAGGACTCCACCTGTTGTTGTATACTTGCAACCATTCAAATCAAGAGCCCCCAGAGATATTTAGTTTTTCTTTAATTGTGGAACATACCTCACATTTGATAAAGTTCGTACTATCCCATGATAGTTCTTATTCCAATGGTCTTGCATACCACATCGTTCCCCATTAAAACAGACCCCCTCACTATATGATATGTAGGTTTCAAACCAGTTTTTATTTGGACACATATGAAAAGAACAACCAGAATCTAAAATCCAAGAATCAGTAAATTGATTTTTACCTGAAGATATAGATAGAAAATTTTTATTATCTCCGTCAGAGCTATCGGCCACACTAGCTTTATCAGATGTTTTTCCTATTTCTATCCTCTTTATATCCTCCTTTCTTTTTGGGCACTCTCTCTGCATATGAACTTCCTTTTTGCAGTTATAGCAAATAAACTTGCCCTTCCCCTTCGATTTTGACCGACTTTTGTTTTCAGACCTCTTTTGATTTAATCTACCCCTTTCATGACTCACTTTGTGTTTTCTAAATAAATTGAGATTTAATACTGCTAGTCTTCGTCCTTGTCTCGTTTGACATAAGAGTAGCAATGACTTCGTCCGTCTCAAGAGTCTCTTTCCCATAAAGTAGAGTTCTAACCAAGTAATCGTATGATCTTGGAAGCGAAGCCAGCAGAAGTAGGCCCTTGTCTTCATCCTCGATTTCGACCTTAAGGCTTGCTAACTGGCTTATGATATGGTTGAACTCACTGAGATGTTCAAGAAAATCTGTGCCTTCTTCCATCTTAAGAGAATACAACTGCTTCTTCAAGAACAACTTGTTCGTCAAAGATTTCACCATGTAGATACTTTCGAGTTTTGTCCAAACCTTCGGAGCAGTTTCGAGATCCACCACATAACACAAGGCGTCATCTGAGAGATTCAGACGAATCACACTTATCGCCTTTTCCTCCATCTCTTGCCACTCTTCATCGTCTATCTTTGCTGGTTTCTTCGATTTCCCTAACAAAGCCTTAGCCAGACTTTGATGTATCAAAAGATCATTCATCTTTCGTCGCCAGGAGGATGAAATTGTTCTTTCCATTCAACCTCTCAATGTCATACTTGACGCTTGAGCCCTTCCTGTTATCGTGGTAGCAAACCCCAAAACGCAGAATAACTTTGTAGGCTCTGATACCAATTTGTAGAAACGAAAAGCAATCCACGAAAACAAAACGAATAAACAAACACAAAAGAAATAGACAACCAACCATAATGCAAAGATATACATGCTTCGGCAACGTACCTACGTCCAAGGAAGATTAGAACTTCTTTGCTGATAATGGAGAATATGGTTACAATTCGCTCTTTTCCTCACATCTCTCTGTTTTTATCTAATTACAAAGAGATCTGTGTTTTTCCTTAACCCTTGATAAACCCCCATCGCAACAATATATATCGAGTCTCAGATAGATGGTACAAATTACCGAAATACCATTGTACAGATATATATCAAATCTCAGATATATCGAATCACATATACGGATATATCTGAATTTTTTTTCATAATGCAAGACATCAATCCTCAACAATATATATATATATATATATATATAACACCACTACTTCAGTGATACTTCAATGCTTGGTCAAGTATTGTAGACCTCTAAATGAGCCAACCTGAGTGTTACAATACTTAGGCAAGTATGCACAGCACTCGCCCGCATACCATGCAAGCTCTTGCTTGGGCTACTGGCAGTGGCCGAATAATTTGACACTTGGACAGGGTTCTTCAGTATAGATTGTAAGGATATGAGATTATAAGAAAACTATGGAATTTGTTTTCTTAGAAGACACAAACCAACTGTAACTACACCTTACAAATGGAGTTTTGCTGAGTTTAGGGGTGGCAAAGGGTTGGGTGGCCCAGCCCGGCCCTATCAGCCAAGCTGTAAAATATTAGGGCTTGAGCTACAAAATGTGGCCCATGGGCCAGGGCCAAGACTGGTTCAGCCCTTTGGTTCTTTATATTTTTCCTTTATGCTTTTCAATTTTTCCATTTGACCCGGTCCTGATTGGGCCAACGCCAGGTCCTCTTTGACCCTATCAAGGGCAGACCGGACTTAGGCCATCCTTGTGAGGGTTAGGGCCGAGCTAGGGTCAAGGCTGGCCTGGCCCTAGCGCGAACATTTGCTATCTCTACTGTTAACTATGCTAGACAGAAAACATGCCACTGATAATTGACAAACACAAGGCATTTTCCTCATCAACTTCAATCTTGAAAGGATCTAAATTCCTATCTACATAGAGAAAATGGGGTAGGGCCAAGCTAGGCTCAAGGTGCTAGATTCCTGCTCCGGATTTGACTGGCCCAAGCCTGACCATAACCTTGGGCTAGGTACCTGGTTGGACCAAACCAACAGATGACATACTTTTTTTTCCAATTCATAAACATATGGCAGAATGGGTCAAGCCATGACCAAGCCCTACAAGGCTTGACCAGGCACTTGACCTACAAATCTGACAGGGCCTTGCCCTCAGGACAAATTTAACCCCAGGCTGTTTAAAGCGAGACCCACCTACCCTTTGCCAATTTTGCTTAAATCCATGGAAAAAAGAGCTAAGGGCAGATTTATATACTGGGAAACTACTCCATTAAGTTCTTTCCCACTGAGGAACCATTTTCCCAATGTGAGAAAACTTCATCCCAACCATTTAGATGTGAAAGCACTTTCTCAAGCAAATGAGAACGCCATCTGGGAGAAGAAACCACAGCGTCCAAAAAAAAGGCTTTCACAACAAGATGACAAAGACCAACCTATGGATGTTCCCGTTATAGTCCTAAAAGGATCTAAAGGACAGAAGAATAAGGAATATTTCAAGGTGAGATTATGCTTAAATCTTTTTAGATGGAATAAATTGAAAGAAAATAGGAAGGAATTTCCCCATCTAAATTTCTAAGTCAACCAAATATTTGAATTGCTCATAAATTAATGCACAATCGCAGTTAAGGAGATACCAAAGAGATCTTATTTAATAACCTATGTAGTTCTTTTGACATGATCTCAAAGAACCACAGAACGCATAATAATCCATAGATACGTCAGATAGAACAAGCAAGTAAAGCCAAAAGGCTTCCTACTCCCGCTGGAGTATACCATCCACTTACTCCCTCAAGCAAAACATACTTCTTAGAACTCAAATTTTGACGATATAATCTCTATAACCATAGACTAATTTTATTTCAAAAAATTTCCCAAATAAAATCTCTATATGTTAGAAAAATATAGTTCCAATCGAGACCATTTAATTTTTAAGGGCCAAATCTAAGTGTACCAAAACTCCAAATTCAATTTTTTTTCTTTTTGAAAATAATCACCATATCCTTCCCAAAATTTTAGGCTTAACCAATTTCCTTAATAGGTGTTTTGGGTGAGAGAATAGATGCAGAGTAAACTCCTGCAGAAGTAGAGGATACATGCGTCCAATAAATGAGTTGAAATAAGCTAAGTAATTATCATTTGGAGACCATTTGCATTTCGCCCAAGGTCACAATCACAATTCTTATAACCTGTAACCATCTAATATAAAATCTAATAGCTTGGGTTAAAAAAATTTCTTTTACTCTTTGAGCTTAGTTAATAGAATAAATACACCATCCAACTTTACATCTAATGGTTAACATTAATTGGGACTATCTTGTACCAAAAATCTCATTGTATACTCTCTTATTATTTTCAGTGACTCCATAAATTTCTCTAAAATTAAAGAATACGTTTACTTCTCGACACTACAGTCTTATGGCTTTCACTCAGCAAAGCCAATTTGACACGTGGGGGAACAGTTTTCTAGGTGGCCGTAAAACTCGCCAAAATGTTTCATACTAGTTTTTCCTTATACTAGCCCAAAACAGCTGTCATTTAACATTCTACCCATTTCTAACCATTCTAACTCAAAGATCATGCTTTTTTAAGCTACTAAGAAATTAAAACAAACGATATGCATAAAGTGTTGAATTGCTCATCACTAATGAGTTATTTGATAAATTTCCGAAGAGCAAAAACAAGTGAAATGCTGAACATGACCGAAACCAAGCATCTCAATATGTAATCTCAAGGTTTGTCATCTTACAAAAAAACCAAGCACCAAAACTGCTACAAGAATTGCCTTGACATCGCAATTTCTGCACACGATCACGGCAAACCTCAAATCTCTCTCTCTCTCTCTCTCTCTCTCTCTCTCTCTCTCTCGGCAATAAAAGAAGACAAATATATGCATGTTATAATACACACTCATACAGATCACCCACCAGTTCCGCACTGCCTTTCACCTCAACAGAAGAATAAGAATAACCGCGACTTAGAACCATGACAAGAACAGAGATAACTTAGAAAAAGAATGATAAGCTCACATCACAAGACAAATAACCGACCACACAAAGAGATGCAAAGCATCCTCATTGTTTCTCAAGTTATGAAGAAAGAATCGATTGCAGGGCAAGCTGCTGCTGGGGTTGTAATGAAGACCAGGTTGAAGCGAGGGCAGAGGGTGGCAACGTCTGCTGAAGCTGTCTCAGAAGATTTATCATACGGCTTGCAGTTTGTTCTGTGGCCAGATCCTTGCCGGCACAGAGAACCTTCAAGTAGGCAGATAACAGTGAGCACCGCTAAAGTCAGTAAGTTAAAGAGAAATCTCTTGTTTTTTCCGTTCTTTTCAATGTCAAGTTAATGGGCAGTGTATTCCTATATCTAAGGCATATTTCGTGTTAGGAAAGTATTTCTGAATTAAAAGCGATCAACTGGGGATATGAAAAGGGACCTCGAATATTCATGCCAAGTAAATTACTATATAAGCAGTGTTATTTTAAATCCAATCCGTGAAATATGTTGAGTAATTGTGTCAACAATCTTGAACCACTATTGTGCTCCGGGTAGGTATGGGCACCCAGAGAGTTTGATAAATTACGACACATACAGTTGCAGATTATACATTTATATTTTATTTAGAATTAGTTACGCACTACATGTTAGAGAAATAAAGGACGATTAGTTATTGCATTATATCACAGATTTATGTCACATAAAATTGATAATTAATTTCTGTTGTGGATATTCCATTATAAGCCAAGGCATATCACAGCCATTTACTTCCCTGAAATGACGAACTTCTCCTATGTCTAAAATTCTTAAGAGTAGATTCATTTCTAAATGAAGAGAGAAAAATGAAGTGCTCTTGAAGCCTAAGTCCGGCTGCTTAAAGCCCAACAGCTCACAGGGTTAAGTGTTTTCCTTTGATAACAGAGTTCACATGGTTTGTTGTTTTCTTCTGATCAGAGAGAGCTCACATGGTTGTTATCCACTCCCGGCAGATATTGGGTGTGTTCTTAGGATGGTATGGAGAAGCTGTTTTAATCATCCTCCTTTTGCCAAGGCTTCCAACTCTTTTGACCAGACTGAAGATGAGCCCTAGAGAAATGGATAGCGTTTTATCAGAGGAAATTATCAAAATGACACTAGCAGGATGTGCATGACCTCTAATTCCTAGTGTCAAACACAAATCTAAGGAAATTCATGGCCTCTGTTCATAAAAACGCATACAAGTCTGTGTTAGAGGGGGGCGAGGGGAGCACAAACCTTCTAGTGGATGGGACTCTTGTTGCACCAAAATGTTTACATGTCATCACTTTTTGACATACCTCTTAGATTTGTGATGAACTTCACACCATATTTATTAATGAAATCGTCATTTTCAGCCCAAAAAAGGAAAAGTAAACTCTTATCTGTCCTTCGAGAGATGATGGATTTGGATTCTAGCCTGTCTCACTCAAAAATTGTTGTTATACGTAACAGGGAATAACATTTAGGTGCCACAGAATGTGATAATGGAACAGGATCCTAGAAAGACAAATAGTATGACCTCTTTCCAAGTATCATTCTTTGATGTTGAGAACAAGTAAAATTTGATTTGCCGAGTGCCAGCATATCCAAACCTTCAGGGACTTGCCTCACACTTAAATTTTAGTACGAGTGAAACCTGGGTTATAATGAATGAGGTATGTCCTAAATTCTTAGTATCGTTTTACAAGGGACAAAAAAACTAGGAGAAAAAGTTCATGAAATTTCTGAAGTAAAATATTATTGAAACCAAAACAATCAAAGATAATAAATGGTCCTAGGTGGTAACAGTACCGAGGTAGAAATGAATTTGATGTAGATGTTAAAACAAGAAAACATGTTGGTTCCTTAATTTTTTCGTTTCTTTTTTTCTTTTTTTTTTCAGGGTAGGTTTCCTGTGTAAATTCAAGATGGCTAAAAAATGCAATAACTATTGCCCATCTAGGATAATCATTTTCCCAAGCAAAGATCAAGAAGAAATTGACCCCAGTATACTGGAAGAAGATACATGAAAACCCAAGAAGGAACATGATTTGCCAAGGACATGGCTGCCATCATATGCATGAATTAGTTCTATAAACCAATGTCATCAGATTCGCTTTACCTCGGCCGAAGAGGCCCAATCCTCAGATTTTCGGCCCATAACGAAGCAAAGCAAAGCTCGATGCATCTACTTCGGGGCCGCTTCAGGCCGATACAGCCTCTTTGGCCAAAGCTTCGTCCTCTTCAACCGAAGCACAGAATGATCTTTTTTTTTAGATTTTTATTTTTAAAACCTTTAATTATTTTAATGTATTTTTATATATAAATATATCCTTTATTATTTTTATTTTTATTTTTAACATTCCAAAATCTTCCCTCGTATCAGCCGAAGCACCGAATTGGCTTATTTTTCCAACCAAACCGAAGAAGCCTTTGAAGCAAATCTGACAACACTGCTACAAACATAAATATAGCCGCATCAGGAAGAAATGGTACCCAAATGAAAGTTTTACCTCTGCAAACACTGAAACGATTTTAGGCAAGAATTGATTATTAGGCCCCAAAAGCTCCATATCCGACCTGCAAATATTTGATAACATACCACTAAGTATACTTTCAATAATTAACAACAATTATCTTTTCGTTTTTCTTTTCAAAAGCTTGATGAAAGAGAGGAGTAAATCATATCAAATGAACATTCATAACTAAGATTCAAAAAAAATGAATAAAATATTAAATTGCTGACCTTTCCACCATAGAACAAAGTTGATCGTGTACAATTTTAGCCTCAATCAAATCTCCTTTTATGGGCAAGCAACTCAGCCAAGCAGGAATTACCTGCAAAAGAAAACTAAATATATGATAAACTATTCATGGAACTAAACGAGCAAGAAGCCGCTTATAACTTCAAATGGTTAACTATGTAATCAAACAAAACAGTAGAGACAAAAAAAACAAACAAAAACACATTTACTACTAGCACCTAACATAGACAAACAAAAATTTGTACATGAATAAACTACAAATATGAAATGAATGACTCTCTTTCCATTTTGTCAGAATAGATAAACCATCATGTTCTCTTAATGATAGCATCATTTTCCAACCGAACATGTTGGATGCCTATATATCACAATAGGAAAGCATTATGAAATGTGGCTCCATCATCTTAGTTGTGATGCTGTGCTCTTCATTCAATGGCTCGCTAAAGATCATTCTTGACACAATCAGTCAGATATGCAGCAAACCCCTAAGTCCCTTCAATCCCCAGTGAGATCAAAATACACATACTCCCTTGAAGATGACCCAACAACCGAGCAGCAGTCTTGTGTCTGTATCAGTGTGATGCATCTTCACATCCAATTCCTCTTTATAGAGAGGCGCATGATGCATCTTCACATCCAATTGCCCTTTATAGAGAGGCGCACAAAAGTTGAGATTAGGGGAGAAAAAAATTAAACAGCTTTGGGGTGCTCTAAATTAAGGTTCTCAGTTGAAGGGGTGGCTTATTTTGACCCATGTGCTTCCAGGTTATGGAGAGCTCAAAAAAGTAATAGATAGGCTAAGATTTCAGTTGGAGATATCTAAAAGTAAGGCCATGCGGTACCTTTTCATGGAATATGTGCACTACATTCTACATTCACAGGGATGAGACTTGGTTTTCAACATTATTGAAACACAAAGAATGCCTAAGGTCCATTCTGATTTCCACATGATAGTAGGGTCAAGCTGTACAATCATGTACAATCTTATATTTGACGTTTCCTGTAGGAAATTAAAGGAACTACTCATGGAGGTAGTGTGATTTGTAACATATGAGTCTTGGAGTGGAATGCTCTTCTTTATTGATAGTGAGAGATGCCCAAGTGACACGTTCATTAATTGGTGAGCTCCACTTTGTTGCTACTCTTTATTTTCATACTACATTGATTTTTCTCAGAATGCACAAGAGTTAAATATCCAACATATAAAGGCTTCATGATCCCCTACAACTGCCCCACATACCTTAAGACACATCTAAGATACATCTCAACTTACTGTCAGACAACAATAACAACAATAGTAGTAGTGGTGGCAGCTGCAAGAAATAGTATTAACAATTTTGCAGTCGAGCATCATAAACCAGACTCTAGAAATGGCAGCAATGAGCTAAAAGACACAAAGGTCATAAAATGCATGAAAACATAGAGAACTACTAATCATGTGCAGTTCAAAATAGCATAATCTTCAAGCACGTTAATCACACATATAGCACTATTTGTCATCATAGATTGAAGAATCATAAATAAATAAAAGGCTACATATCCAAGCCATAAAGAGCCTATTGTACGTAAATGTAAAGCATACTACAAAAATATACACATTCATGCATGTGGATGTACATGCCAATGCACCTGGATATAAGATCCAAGATAGAAATATAGAATAGGATATAACAAAAGATTACCTCAACAATCAAAAATAAATAAATAAATAAATAAAAACACAATACCTGAGCTGCATCAATACTATCACGATGGAACTGGCATATCTTTCCTAGAGCAGAGACAGCATTGTCAGAAGCCATAACACTATCCAAGTCAAGTGCATTAGGATGCCGAATCACAACATTTAGCCTGGAAAGGGCCTCTGAAGAGAACCAACAACAGCGTGAACCAAAAACAGCGTTAGTTATGTTTTAATACAGCTCTCAACCTCATCTTCCTCGGCACCAAGAACCAGAAAATACCTCCCACTAAAGGCTTAAACTTGGAACCACCAAATTCAGCACACACGCCAATTCCATAAACAGCAGCCTGAGAAAAATTAATGATTAGAAACAAATCTAAAATAAGCCCAAGGAATGATATAATGTATTGTTCTAAAGAAATACCTGCCGAACATCTGGGTTGACATCATTGCACGCGTCCAACAAAAAGGGCAGAAAAGTGTCATAATATCTGGTCAAACAAAATGTATATTAAGATTTAATAAGAAAATGTATTCTATAAGAAGAGCAACTGAATCAGGAAGATAATTATTATGATTCAAAAGATAATTATTTTAATCCAAACATTTCAGAGAACCATACTTGAGAGCAGATTCCCGACATTGTTCCGCAACATCATCAAAAATACAAATGGCAATCCTTCTCTCTTCTGCAGTTTTATCCTTACCCTGAAAGAAGATAATCAAAACAAATTTAAACTACAACAGATACCCACGACAGACAAAACCTCGGGACAATTATCATGCATATTTGAAAATTCTTCTATGCAAAGTGCAATATGCACTGAAATATAATGCATATGCAAGCCTACATGGTACATGGAATACAACAATATGAAACTTATAACTAGATTTCCTGCAACATTAAAGAAAATATATAAAGAAATACAAAAAGGAAATAAAGAAATTCAAATAAGTTTTTTGAGGTGACAACAAATGTCCAACTAAATCAAACATGGTGTAAGGGTGAGACAAGAGAGCCATGTGAAAGAACACTTGTCCTAAAACACGTAAAAGGCCGCAACTTGTCCCTTACCATGTACCATTAACTTCTACTTCAAACAGAGTTCTAAAACAATGCCCACCCAGTAACTAGGCAGGCCAAGGGGGCCTAGGCCCCTCGCCCAGGCCTGGGCAGGACTTCTAGGCTGGGTGTCCCTGGGGGGCACCAGCATGCAGCCCTCGGCTGGTGCCAGCATGCAGCCCTTGGCTGGCACCTAGGGACTACGCCCACCTAAGGGCGAAAATACCCCTTACTTTTCTCCCAAAACAAAGGGAAAAAAAGAAAAGAAAAGAAAAAAAAAAGAAGGGACCCGTCGGGGGGGGTGGGGGTGGTTGTTTGGGTGTGTTTCTTCGAATCTCAAATTTGGTTGGATTTATACTTTGAATTCAAAACTTCCTAAAATTGATCCAAACATCATCGTTTTGTTTTGGATTCAATTTTATCCATTTAGGAGGCTTATTACAGAGCTTTTGTATTTTTGCTTGTGTTATTATTTTGGCTTGCATTATGGGATTTAATATTTTATGGTGTTACAAGTGTTATGGCCACATACTTATAGTCCTATTAAATCCGTATGCTAGTACGGTAATATGTGTACGGTATATGGAGTGAGTCTACAGAGTGTATGGATTTACTATATTTTGGTTACTATGGATATGGATCATGTGTATAGAACTATAGAAGGGAATGCTATGGAACCATGAATTAAGGTTACAGATTGATATGGATTATGGTTCGGTTAATTAGTTATGGATTGTGTATTTTTGGTAGCACCATACCACTTTGGTATGGATTTAGCATGATTCCACATAAATATGTACCAAAAATGCTAAGGCTATGGATTGGCATGGATTATGGTTAGGTTAATTGGTTATGGATTGTGTATTTTTGGCAGTACCGTAGCACTTTGGTATGGATTTAGCATGATTCCACATAAATATGTATAAAAAAGGCTTGAATATGCATTTTTATACAAAATTTAGACCTACAACAAGATTCGTTTGACAACCCCTGCCCCCTTATAAACCTCGACCACTCAGGTCCTTGGGCTCCGGCTTAAGTGCCGGTTGACCAGGATTACCATGGCTGTGTAAGGCGCTGCCCAGCACTTTTTTGGAACACCGACTCCGAATCACAAATGACCATTGCTTTCATGAAAGGTAGTTATTGCAAGACTACTAATTTGACAAGGTAATAGTCATAGATTCTACAAATTCATTTTTGGAACACATATATACACACACACGTTCAAGTGGAAAGCTAGAACAGGGCATGGAGAAGGTCCCAAAGGACATGGAAGGAAATCGTGACAATTGAGAAAAGACATGGTCACTTATGGCCCTTGATAGAGCAGAATAGTAGAACACGATTCATGTAGCCAGCCAAAAAATAGTTGGGATAAGGCTAGGACAATGATGATGATGATATATATACATGCACGCACGCACGCACGTGCACATATACACATGACATTTGTGGTTTGCACCCCAGGTTTAGCAATATGTAATGGAACACATCCATTAGCTCCATTCTTTGATCATACAAGAACCAAAGATGGTGACTGACATTATTACTTCCCTTTGATATGTAGACACGCACATTTCCAAATCCTTTTCGTAAGCATCTCTAAATTCTTGAAGACGATTGAAACTCATGATGTACCTATTCATTGCTTTAGTGCAAACTTCACATGCATGCAAATGTTGAAAGTAGCAATGAAAATAAAATTTCATAAAAGCAACAGTACAGTAGTTTCACTTTACAACGCATTTTGGCTCTCTACCATTGCTAGAAAAACTGGGCGACCTAACCGCTAACCGCCCGGTTAGATCGGAACTAGCTAGTGGCCAGTTTTGGCGATCGATCGGTATTTTAAAAAAAAAAAATTCAAAAAAATGTATATAAATTTTCAAAATTAAGGAATTTGGTGTAACGCATTTTTTAATATTCTTTATATTATGGCAAAGATTAAAAATTGTTTTTGTCATTAATACTCACTTTAATTCAAAAATCGATTCATTAAAATCTATTTTTTCATTAATTTTCAGCTTCATTTTAATGTGTTTTGTTTTAATCATTCTTTATATCCTTTTCATATTTTAGTTGATTTTTTTTTGGATCTTTTTATTTTTTCAACACCTTTTTGACCACCCGAGACTTGCCCGATTAGAACGGTTGAATCGGCCGGTTAAACTGCTTCCGAGCCCATGTCCGGTTAACCGTTCCAATTCGATTTTGCAAACACCGCTCTCTACACAATACAATATGAAATACTGCAATAGAAAACAGCTGCTATTGCTCACAAAAAGAGTATCACTAAGATGAAATAATGCCATATCAGCACCTCCTGAATGTAGAACAGAGGCATATGATGTTTCTCTTTAAACATAATCAGTGAAGGTACAATACCAATTTCCACATCACTGGTTTCAGTTTACAGCTCCTTATGTTTCTCTTGACAATTCAATTTGAGATGCAAAAATTGAAAACTGTTGCTACTGTTGAAAAGATAAGGACTACAACACCTCCTTGATGGAGAATAGAGTCGTGTGATGTTTTTGTTTAAAAAAAAAGAAAAAAAAAAGAAACAGGACATACAATACTAATTTCCACAACAAATAAAACCTATCTATAGGCACAAGCTGCACTAAAGTTATTCTTCATCATCATCATCATTACAACCTTTTCCCAATTAATTGGGGTTGGCTACACGAATCCTGCCTCGCCATTCTGCTCTATTTAATGCCATACCCTCAATGAGGCCATAAGCCTTCAAATCTTTCAAACTACTACCAACCACGTCCTTTTTGGCCTACCCCTTGCTCTTTTCAATCCTTCCACTTGAATTAACTCACACCTCCTAAAATGTGCTATACTAGATCAATGACACACATGGCCAACACACCTAAGTCTACTCTCTCTCATCTTATCGCCTATTAGTGTAACACTTAAACTTTCCCGAATGCATTCATTTCGGATTTTATCCCTTCTTGTCTATCCATCTCAATATCCTCATCTCCGCTACACTCAATTTATAGGTCTATTATTTTTCGTTCGCCCAACATTCTGCCCAATAAAGCAAAGCTGGTCTCACAGTTGTCCTATAGAACTACCCTTCAACTTTATTGGTATGCAGCAATCACATAAAATTCCAGTTGCACACCTCCACTTTGCCCACCCAGCTCTAATTCTATGTGCGACATCTTCCTCAATCTCTTCATTTTCCTAGATTATCGACCCAAGATATCGAAAGTGCAGTCTTTTTTGTACTTCCTGGCTGTCAATTTAGAGCATCCCTCCAAAGTTCTAAGTTTGTGTTGACGTCGTTTCGAGTCTCATGTCATCTGCGAACAACATGCACCACGGTACGTCATCCTACAGATGAGGTAGTTAAGTCGTCTATAACTAAGACAAAAAGGTACCGGCTCAATATTGACCCTTGATGTAGACCTATCATTACTGAAAACTCACTCGTCTCTCCACTAGTTGTTCGCATACTAGTTAGTCATCCATCCTACATATTTCTCCCCAAGTCGATGTAGTGTCTGGAGACTCCTTTCTTTTCCAACACCCTCCAAATCAAATCTTGAGGTACTCTATCATAAGCTTTCTCTACGTCAATAAAGACCATGTCGAGGTCTTTTCCCTTCGCCCTAAACTTCTCAATCAGTTGCCTAAGTAGGAAAAGTTGCAATACTATTATTAAGACAACAAAATTCCCTAACAAACGGGTGCCATCAGTAAATACTTTATTTCACCACTAAACGTTCCTTTCCTCTGCAGTAAATTGCCTAAAGCAACTGACATTAGAAACTCAAGCCCGAAAAAAAGGAACTTGAAACCAATTACTGAGGAAATTTAGAAAATCATAGAGAAAAAAGGGCCAGTTTTATGATATATAAATTCATCACAAACATAATCAATGAGAGAATGCAATAAAAAAGCATTAGCATAAGACCATAACAAGATCTGCAAGGTTCATTATATTATATTGTTTTTATTTCTCCAACCATATCCTATAAATCCAAAAGTCTTAGCAGGTTACAGACACTATCATATGAGATCTAAAACAAATAGATGAGCCTTCTTTCTTTCTCATTGAGTGATAACCACTATGTAATATTAGAAAGTCTACGCACCCATACAAATTATATATGGAAGACAACTTACCCACATAGGTGTGATATAAGAAGACAGCTCATCAAAGAATGGTAAGAAAGAAGCCTTAAATGTTTTGATCAATGTCCCCAAGAGATCTCCAACCTGAAATTAGCAATATTAAGCATCCAAAATTCAATGATACAGACAAGTTCAGACTGATTTAAGCAACCACAAACATAAACCATTCCATTTTCTGTGACAAGATATTAAAGAAACCATTCTGTCAAGACTAACTTGATCAAATACTTCCTCTTCTTGCTCATTTTCTTCGATAAGTAACTCTCCTTCCTCAGCATCAAAGTCCTCTGCTTTGGTCCTTTCTGCTCTTTCCTTCTTCCTAGTTGAGCTTGCAGTAATCACTTGTTTTATCTCATCCACTATGCACTTTACCTGACCTTGATCCAATAGTGGCCCAGAAACCTGAAAACCCCCAAAGTGTTATTGCCTGAGTAAATTCTCATTCATGAGCATTACAACTAACATTATGGCATGAGTGCCAACATTGCGGTTATGAGGTCAGCACAATGACGGGCTTCATGCACAAGATGCATTTCAGAACTCTTAGGACAGCAAACTCATAAATAAAATAACAATTACTTCATTTCAATATATAAAAATGGTCAGGCATATCATAGAAGTACCAAGTTCCCAGGACACGAAAAAGCACGGGCATGGTAACATATATCACCAAATTAGTATAGGGATACACCAACATTGTTTCATTCACAAGTAATACACAGAAAACAATAGAATGCATGCACCATGATGAGAAAGTACAGATAACAACTCGAATTTATGTAATACTACCAACTTTAATAGTATTTTTCATCCGGATTACTACACAGGTTCAACTTGATAAGGAACGCATTTAGACAGTATTGCTTGAGTTTTTATGCACTTCCATATGCTTTTTGAAGTATCTATCCTGAACATTGACTAAAGGGATGTGACAAGCCTTAAAATCAGAAACACGAGCTACCTACAAATTGTGACTCAAATCCAGACTCAGAGGACCCATAGCCCAAGCTTTGTTTAACAATTTTGGCCTCCTTTAAGCTTAAAGAGTAAATCAATAAGATCAACGCCATGTACATCACAAAGTACAAATCATATATACAGACATAATTATGTGTGTGCGTGTGCATCCAATTAGCACACAAGTAAATTAGTATATAACATCTATACATACATACTACGAAGTGTAGAAAAGGAAAAGATCAGAAATTTAAGTGTTTTTGTATATTGCATAGAAACAATCATGCCAATCAAAAATAAATATATTAGCATAACATTACATAGTACACATGAACTTACACATACTAATCATTACATGCATCCATAGACAATACATAAATGGTACATAGTATTTCTGCATACAATTAAATATTTAGTACTTTTGGCGAAGTAGAGGAGGTAGGTACAGGAACCACATCCCTTATATTATTCTCAAATAATAAGGTTTGTGCAGGAACCCCGTCCCTTATATTTTTCTTGAATAATTTGTATAATAGACCCCAAACCACAAACCTTATAGCCCAGTTATCAGTACAGGTACAAGATAGTATAACATGATGCTCAAATCTATACTCTAATTTTAGGACTTGAACTCTACAGTGTACATAACATGTCATAATATTGCAACTTTATGATCTTTTCTCACTTCATGTTTTGCCAGTACAACTGCGAAGGCTACTTGTTCCCTGTTGTCTCATTTTTGATCTTGCCTGACTCCTATTTTGGTATGCCATGTTGAACCAACATATACTGAATATTGTACGTAGACACATATAACCACAAAGATAATACATTTAAAAACCCATAAATGGGACATGGTACCTCTGCCTGCAATTAAATCTAACCAATTTCGCACATTTCGAAGTACATTTATAGGATTAGGATATTGGAAGTGAAAGAAGCTTTGAAAAGGATGAACATAGTAAAGGCTTTAGGACCAGATGGTATCCCCATAGAGGTATGGAAGTGCATGGGGGAGATTGGCATTGACTGGCTAACTAAGCTGCTCAACAAGGAGTTGAGAACAAAGGATATGCCAAACGAACAGACGAAAAGTATTGTGGTACTTTTTCTATCCTCTCTCCCTATCCTCTCTCCACTGACCGTCTTGGGAGGTCTCCTAGATTGCCTCCGCCCCCTCTTTGCCTTCAATTAAGAAATGAAGTTCCTCATCTGGAATGTTAGAGGGCTAGGACAGTCCTCCAAGAAGAGTACAGTTAAGGACCTCACCTCTAAACTTTGCCCCACAGTTCTTGCCCTCCTTGAAACAAAACTCCTAGAGCCTAACCTACAACTCATTCGCCAAGTATGGGGGAGAAGACCAAGTCAGTGGGTCTCCCTACCGGCAAATGGGGCTTCAAGGGGATATGGGTGATCTGGGACCCCTCAGACTTCACCCTAAACTCTTACTTTATAGGGGAATTCTCTATGACCATTCTCCTCTCCAGCACCTCTGATGGGGTCCCATGGAAATTCTCGGCAGTCTATGGTCCAACATCACCTACCCTCAAAAGCAGACTCTGGTCAAAACTGGGACATGTAGCTTCGCTCCCACACCCTATTTGGTGCTTGGGAGGGGACTTCAATGTCATTCGTTGGTCCCACGAGAGAAACTCCTCAAGTTCTATTTCCCAGGATATGAGGGGATTTCTCAGATTTCATCAGTCGTACTGAACTCTTAGATATTCCCCTCCAGGGCTGTCGATATACGTGGTCCAACCACACTACTAACCCCACCCTCTCTAAATTAGATAGGTTCCTCCTGTCCCTGAATTGGGAGAAACATTTTCCGAGATCCTCATCTTTAGCCCTTCCTAAACCCACCTCGAATCACTGCCCCATTTTGCTTGATACCGTTGCTGTAAAGAGGGTCCCCAGACCCTTCAGATTTGAACTTCATTGGCTCCAAGAGAAGGATTTCCTTACCCTACTACAAACCTAGTGGAATTCCCCTGCCTCCCAGGTCTCGGGTAGAGCAGGATATATCCTTCAGACCAAACTCCAACTCCTTAAAACCTCCCTCAAAACTTGGACCCGGTCCATCCCTGATAACTTCTCCCAACTCAAGTCCTCATTGCATACCATCCAAGAGATTGATCGTCCCGAGGAAACTAGACCGCTGGAATCCTCGGAGCTTGACCTCAGATCCTAGACTAAACTGGAATACCATTCTACCCTCAAAAAAGAAGAGATCTACTGGTTCCAGAGATCTAGAATCACATGGTTGAAAGCGGGTTATCATAATACTGCCTTTTTTCATCGCATTGCTAATTGTCGCAGAAGAGACAATTCAATTTCGATGATAAAAGTCAATAACATATACCTAAGTCAACCAGTTGAGATAGAGCGGGCTATCTTACAGTTCTTTCAAACTCTATATTCTGCTCCCCTTGGGACAAAATCAAGAATGACTTCCCTTGATTTCCTTACCCTCACTGAAGACAAAGTCGTTTGGCTAGAGCAACAGTTCACTCAGGAAGAAATTTTACTAGCTATCAACTCTCTAGCCAAAGACAAGGCACCGGGTCCTGACGGATTCTCGATTGCACCCTTCAAGGAGTCCGGGGACACCTTCCATCCTAACTTCATCAAATTCTTTGAGGAATTTTTCTGTCGGGGTACCCTCCACAAAGCCATTAATGCTACCCTTCTCGCTCTCATCCCAAAATTGAAGGTGCAGAGGAAATCAAAGATTTCCATCCAATAAGCCTACTGAATTCATCTTACAAGATTCTGGCAAAAGTCCTAGCCACTATGCTTCAACAAGTCCTTCCCTCTATTATATCTTCCTCACAATCTGCCTTTCTCAAAGGCAGACAAATCCTTGACGGGACCTTAGTGGCTCATGAGTGCATCCACTCAAGGCACCTAGCAAAGAAACCCAGCCTTATCTTCAAATTTGACTGGGAAAAGGCATACGACCATGTGGACTGGTCAATACCAGATGTGACGATGGCAAGAATGGGTTTCCAGGATAGATGGAGAAAGTGGATGAGAGGTTGCTACTCCCATCCACATTTCTCCATTCTCATCAATGGAACCCCAAAAGGCTACTTACCCTCTTCAAGGGGTCTTCGGCAAGGAGACCCCCTCTCCCCTTTCCTGTTCGCAATTTCGACAGAGGTCTTCAATCGCTCCATCTCCCAGCTCTATCAGACTGGCCTTCTTTCAGGTTTCAGGAGTAGTAGACAAGGCCCAACTGTGCCCCATATGCAATATGCAGATGACACACTGGTGTTTATTGATGCCTCTAGTAATGAAGTCAAAACCCTCAAACTCTTCCAAAGTTGCTTCCAAACAGCGACAGGGTTCAAAGTAAATATGGAGAAATCTAAAATGCTGGGTGTAGCCTTGACACAAGCAGAGGTCAAAGCCTTCATTCCAAGATGAGAGTGTAAAGTGGAAGATCTACCGACTACTTATCTAGGTCTCCCTTTGGGACTGGGGAAACCCAAGAAAAGGCAATGGTCCCAAGTCCTAGATAAGGTAGACAGGCGTTTGGCAAGGTGGAAGGGTAGATTCCTCTCTATGGCAGGTAGAACGACCCTGATCAACGCTACCATTGCCAACTCCCTAGTATACCTTATGCCTCTATTTCACATGCCAGCCCAAGTCGCCAATCGACAAGACCAAATCATGCGAAACTTCCTTTGGTCAAGGCAGGCTGAAAAGACAAAGTTCCATCTGGTAGCTTGGGACAACATTTGTCTATCCAAACAGCAGGGAGGACGGGGAATTTAGGTCCTTTGTAAACAAAACCAGGCACTCCTAGGGAAATGGTGGTGGCGTCTAGCCACCCAGCCTAACTCCCTTTGGCCTCAGGTTGTACGGAACAAGTACAGAATCCCTAAAGGAGCCTGGTTGCCAAAAAGGAGCCATTGGCACAACGCCTCATGAGCATGGAAATCCTTTTACTCGACCCTTTCCCAGTTTAGAAGGTTCATTAGGTTTCATCCTAGAGAGGGCTCTAGAGTGAGATTCTAGTCTGATTTGTGGTTAGGAAACTCGCCTCTGAGAGAGGTGATCTGTACCCTCTACTCTCTTGCTCAGAACAAAGAATCTTCCCTTGCTGAGGAAATGGTCCTAACTGGGGGACGTAGAGTTTCGAACCCTTACTTCCAAAGGAATCTAACTGAAGAGGAAACAAACCACTTTCAGTCACTCTCGACCCCCCTCCACTCCCTCTTCATTTCGCCTCAAGGAAGTGATGCTATCATCTGGACTCTATCCCCCTCTGGTATCATTTTTGATAGCTTCTTTCTACAAAAGCTTAGTTCTGCCCCCAACTTTCCCGACGAATCCCACCGCGATCCAATCCAAAGTTTGGGCCACCATTGCCCCACCAAAAGTCCGAACTTTCAACTGGCTAGCTTGCTCTCATAGAGCTCTCACAATAGACCAATTAC